TAGTGTTGACGAAATTGTAAGAGAAAATGGAAAATTTTCATCCGTTAGAACTTCATTGTTGACGTTGTGTCTACACATGCGCACGAATGGCAGACGCTGATAGTTTCAAAATTTTTGCAATAATTTGTTTACATATTTTTTTGTAATCTAACCAAATTTCGTCTATATTCTTTTTTTCTTTTTCTTTCCATCATCTTTGTTATTAAATATCCCACAGTTTCATAACAGAAAATCGGCCAAGAATGGTGAAACGTTCTAAGAAACCGGACATAAATTTACTATGAATGATGAACTTGCGATTAAAAGTCTTTTTAAACATTTTCGTCTTAGTAGATTATTTTCTCTTTTGATTAAAATGGGAGTTCTTATGACCAAATTGTGGGCAGTCTCGTTATGGTGAACACCGATGCGTTTTTTGTTTGTTGTTTTTTTAAAATGTCTTGTTCTTGTTCATATATATTCTTTCTGGCAATCTTTGCAGTTGATAAGAGTAAAATCCCTTTGTTGTGTTCTTTAAAGAAAAGCGAACGAGAGGATGAATTCTCGTGCGCTCGGAATATTTTATAACGCCTATTTTATATGTAAGAGAACATTAATTCGTAAAGTTAAAGTGGCAAGTATTGCTCTTGTGTTTTTTTTTTCTTTGCATAACGAAGTAGTGAATGTTATTACTAGATTCTATAGGAATTTTTAAGAAAGGGACTATTTATTTTTTTACTAAGTTCATAGATAACGTTAAGGACAGATTTTGAGATTATCAATTTTTTTTTTTTTGTTTTCAACTTTGTTTTTAAAATACCTTGTTTTCTACATGGGACATGTAATAGAGAAGCACAAGCCGGTGGATGTCCACCATTCGTTTGAATGTACCTATTGCCATTATGGTCGTAGAAAAGGATTTTAGTTGTGCAGGCAATAATTTTTTGAGAATATTACGTTTTTTTATGTAGATGGGAATGAATTATTTTTATACACGGAGTTAAGGATTTTATTGATGGTTTCATCAAGAGAGAATATATTTACCAACGTCCCGTTGGTAAATAAATTTTCCACGACAAATGACGCTAAAACGCTTTGGTTTGTGTAATTTTTAAACTTTTCATGAATTTCTCCAAATCATAAAAAATGTACAGTTTTTTTAAATTTCAAAGACGTAGTGTCATGAAATCAAACAAAAGCGCAATCAACATAGACACGCACATACATATTCATATATAATATATATATATATATATATATATATATATATATATATATTCATATATATATATATATATATATATATATATATATATTATAAATTAATTGATTTAAAATATGGTTATTTTCGCTACACAGTTCCAACCATGTTTCAAAAACAGAAGCTAAAAACCCCTAATTTTATTTTTGCAAATAAATTAAAAGCATTAGTTCCATTTCATCTTCAAGCGAATTTTGGAGTAATATTTATAATATTAATGCTCTGTAAATTTACATTGAGCACTATTTTGTAAAAATAAAATATCTATAAGAACACCGGATTTTATATCTTACTGTTCTTTCTTTTTATTTATATACATATATATATATGTATATATATATATATATATATATATATATATATATATATAAGCTCAAACACTAATATTCGATGGTTATCACTTAATCCATTGGAATTGTAATCACGATCCAAATCATCAGATCTTTGAATTTGTAGGTCTGATGAATTGGATCGTGGTTATGTTTCCAATGTAATAAATTATAACCATGGAATATTAGTGTTTGTGCCTTTTATATTATATTCTTACTGTGTCCTGAACATTGAGTTCTACCTAGATTCTATCCTCTTGCAATTTTACACACACACACATATATATATATATATATATATATATATATATATATATATATATATATATGTATATTTTGACCACTAATATTATCAATATATATATATATATATATATATATATATATATATATATATATATATTTCTGGTCATCGGATGTGATAAAGTAATTTAATTTATGGCAACAGTGATCCCAACACATTTCACTTACAGACCGTTTTTGGCTTTCAGTTTCAATTCTAAATTGAAGAACCCGAAAGCAGTACACGTTCTTTGGGCAAAACGCGTTGTTCATAGCTTTTTGAATTTGTTTTATCATCTTCACTTTTGTTTTGAATACTATTATACATCCTACAAAACGCACACACACGCACACACACACACACACACACATATGTGGTTGTGTGTGTGGTGTGTGTGTGTGTGTGTGTGTGTGTATATTGCGATTGTGTTAGGTTTATCAGCGTGGCAAGTAAAATGGCGTGTCGATCGATTGACTTGGCGCTAATGTCTTTTGAAGACTAGGTATGTGTTAACTACTAGGGAAACCAATTACGGAGAAGGAAAAGTCCGAATTAAAACCTGAAGAGGGTTGTTTAGAGATTTCATGGTACACCGTGTACCATTCCCCTGTCATCATTTTTTTTCTGAAACGAGAGGCAGCCTCTGCACAAATCGTCGCAACTATAATCAAATCATATGTGGGCAGTCCAAAGATTCAGTTTGAAATTAAACTATTGCGCCCTTATATCGAAATCGACGTGAGAGTTCAAAAGAAAATGCACACACACACACACACATATATATATATATATATATATATATATATATATATATATATATATATATACATATATATATATATACACACACATATACACACACACACACACATATATATATATATGCAGAAATATAGTTTTAAAAAGTGTGCTATATTTATGGGATAAAGTGCTCAATATCAGAGATAGGCATTATGTAAACATAGATATAAAAAAGTGAACAATGAAGTCAAGCACTCCAGTGGCGACAGGCTGTTTCATGCTAGACTCAATCGTCAGGCCGCCCGATGGGGTCTAGAATGAAACAACCTGTCTCACTATGCTAACTTCGTATTTACTTTATATATATATGTATGTTTGTATATATATATATATATATATATATATATATATATATATATATTTAGAGAGAGTTAATCCACTATATATATATATATATATATATATATATATATATATATATATATATATATATATATATATAAAGGATTAATACAAATATAAAATTTGTCGCTTAGCTGATTGAGGTTATTTTCAGTGTCTCGACTCTAGAGTTTACTTAGACATTCGTTAACAATCGTTCTGTACACTCGTCAGGAGATACCAGCAATTGACATTTTTATTTTCTGTTTTTTCGTCATTTTTATATT